GGTACTGGGACTGGGGTTATGGTACTGGGGTTATGATACTGAGACTGAGGTTATGGTACTGATATTGGGGTTATGGTACTGGAACTGGGGTTATGGTACTGGAACTGGGGTATGGTACTGGAACTGGGGTATGGTACTGGAACTGGGGTTATGGTACTGGAACTGGGGTATGGTACTGGAACTGGGGTATGGTACTGGAACTGGGGTTATGGTACTGGAACTGGGGTTATGGTACTGGAACTGGGGTATGGTACTGGGACTGGGGTTATGGTACTGGGACTGGGGTTATGGTACTGCAACTGGGGTTATGGTACTGGAACTGGGGTTATGGTACTGGAACTGGGGTTATGGTACTGGAACTGGGGTATGGTACTGGAACTGGGGTATGGTACTGGAACTGGGGTTATGGTACTGGAACTGGGGTTATGGTACTGGAACTGGGGTATGGTACTGGAACTGGGGTATGGTACTGGAACTGGGGTATGGTACTGGGGTTATGGTACTGGAACTGGGGTTATGGTACTGGAACTGGGGTTATGGTATGGAACTGGGGTATGGTACTGGAACTGGGGGTTTTGGTACTGGGACTGGGGTTATGGTACTGGAACGGGGTTAAAGGTACTGGAACTGGGGTTATGGTACTGGAACTGGGGTATGGTACTGGAACTGGGGTTATGGTACTGGAACTGGGGTTATGGTACTGGAACTGGGGTTATGGTACTGGAACTGGGGTTATGGTACTGGAACTGGGGTTATGGTACTGGAACTGGGGGTTATGGTACGGGACTGGGTTATGGTACTGGGGCTGGGTATGGTACTGGAACGGGGTATGGGACTGGAACTGGGGTTTAAAAGGTACTGGAACTGGGTTATGGGACTGGGACTGGGGTTATGGTACTGGAACTGGGGTTATGGTACTGGAACTGGGGTTATGGTACTGGGACTGGGGTATGGTACTGGAACTGGGGTATGGTACTGGAACTGGGGTTATGGTACTGAACTTGGGGGATGGTACTGGGACTGGGGTTATGGTACGGAACTGGGGGTTTTGGTACTGGGACTGGGGTTATGGTACGGAACAGGGGGTTTTGGTACTGGAACTGGGGTTATTGGGAACTGGAACTGGGGTTATGGTACTGGGACTGGGGTTATGGTACTGGGACTGGGGTATGGTACTGGAACTGGGGTATGGTACTGGAACTGGGGTTATGGTACTGGAACTGGGGTTATGGTACTGGGACTGGGGTTATGGTACTGGAACTGGGGTTATGGTACTGGAACTGGGGTTATGGTACTGGGACTGGGGTATGGTACTGGAACTGGGGTATGGTACTGGAACTGGGGTTATGGTACTGGAACTGGGGTATGGTACTGGGACTGGGGTTATGGTACTGGAACTGGGGTTATGGTACTGGGACTGGGGTTATGGTACTGGAACTGGGGTTATGGTACTGGAACTGGGGTTATCGTACTGGAACTGGGGTTATGGTACTGGACTGGGGTTATGGTACTGGGGCTGGGGGTTTGGGACGGAACCCGGGTTATGGTACTGGAACGGGTTATGGTACTGGAAAATGGGGTTATGGACTGGGACTGGGGTATGGTTTCTGGAACTGGGGTATGGTACTGGAACGGGGTTATGGTACTGGAACTGGGGTTATGTTTCGGACTGGGTTATGGTACTGGGGCTGGGGTATGGTACTGAAATGGGGTATGGTACCTGGAACTTGGGTTATGGTACTGGAACTGGGGTTATGGTACTGGGACTGGGGTATGGTACTGGAACTGGGGTATGGTACTGGAACTGGGGTTATGGTACTGGAACTGGGGTATGGTACTGGGCCGGGGTTAAGGAAATGGAACTGGGGTTAGGACTGGGCTGGGTTATGGTACTGGAACTGGGGTTATGGTACTGGAACTGGGGTTATGGTACTGGAACTGGGGTTATGGTACTGGGACTGGGGTTATGGTACTGGGACTGGGGTATGGTACTGGAACTGGGGTATGGTACTGGAACTGGGGTTATGGTACTGGAACTGGGGTATGGACTGGGGCTGGGGTAAGGTACTGGAACTGGGGTATGAAATGGAACCGGGTTATGGTACTGGAACTGGGGTTATGGACTGGGACTGGGTTTTGGTACTGGGACTGGGGTATGGTACTGGAACTGGGGTATGGTACTGGAACTTGGGTTATGGTACTGGAACTGGGGTTATGGTACTGGGACTGGGGTATGGTACTGGAACTGGGGTATGGTACTGGAACTGGGGTTATGGTACTGGAACTGGGGTTATGGTACTGGGACTGGGGTTATGGAACACGAGGATAAATTTATCAGATCGCATAGCCATCTGATAAAGGTTATGTGTTGATATCTGACAGATGTTATGTGTTGGTATCTAGTTAATGTTATGTGTTGGCATCTGATAGATGTTATATGTTGGTATCTGATAGATGTTATATGTTGGTATCTAATTAATGTTATGTGTTTGTATCTAATTAATGTTATGTGTTGGTATCTAGTTAATGTTATGTGTTGGTATCTAGTTAATGTTATGTGTTGGTATCTAGTTAATGTTATGTGTTGGTATCTGATAGATGTTATATGTTTTTGGGATCTGATAATGTTATATGTTGGTATGTAATTAATGTTATGTGTTTTGGTATCTAATTAATGTTATGTGTTGGTATCTAGTTAATGTTATGTGTTGGTATCTAGTTAATGTTATGTGTTGGTATCTGATAGATGTTATATGTTGGTATCTGATAGATGTTATATGTTGGTATCTAATTAATGTTATGTGTTGGTATCTAGTTAATGTTATGTGTTGGTATCTGATAGATGTTTTGTGGTTTTGGGATCTGATAGATGTTATATGTTGGTATCTAATTAATGTTATGTGTTGGTATCTAATTAATGTTATGTGTTGGTATCTGATAGATGTTATGTGTTGGTATCTGACAGATGTTATATGTTGGTATCTAATTAATGTTATGTGTGGTATCTAGTTAATGTTATGTTTGGTAAACTGATAGATTTATGTGTTGGTATCTGACAGATGTTATATGTTGGTATCTAATTAATGTTATGTGTTGGTATCTAATTAATGTTATGTGTTGGTATCTGATAGATGTTATGTGTTGGTATCTGATAGATGTTATATGTTGGTATCTAATTAATGTTATGTGTTGGTATCTAGTTAATGTTATGTGTTGGTATGTGATAGATGTTATGTGTTGGTATCTGATAGATGTTATATGTTGGTATCTAATTAATGTTATGTGTTGGTACTAGTTAATGTTATGGGGGTTGGGATGTGATAGATGTTATGTGTTGGTATCTGACAGATGTTATATGTTGGTATCTAATTAATGTTATGTGTTGGTATCTAATTAATGTTATGTGTTGGTATCTGACAGATGTTATATGTTGGTATCTAATTAATGTTATGTGTTGGTATCTAGTTAATGTTATGTGTTGGTAAAGTGATAGATGTTTTTGTGTTGGTATCTGGGCAGATGTTATAAAGTTGGTATCTAATTAATGTTAAAGTGTTGGAAACTAATTAATTTTATTTTGGGTTTGGGATCTAATTAATGTTAAGTGTTGGCATCTAATTAATGTTATTGGGTTTGGGATCCGATAGATGTTATGTGTTGGTATCTGACAGATGTTATATGTTGGTATCTAATTAATGTTATGTGTTGGTATCTAATTAATGTTATGTGTTGGTATCTAATTAATGTTATGTGTTGGTATCTAATTAATGTTTTGGTTGGGAATCTAATTAATGTTATGTGTTGGTAAACTAATTAATGTTATGTGTTGGTATCTGACAGATGTTATATGTTGGTATCTAATTTAAAGTTATGTTGTTGGCACTAATTATGTTATGTGTTTGTATCCGATAGATGTTATGTGTTGGTATCTGACAGATGTTATATGTTGGTATCTAATTAATGTTATGTGTTGGTATCTAATTAATGTTATGTGTTGGTATCTAATTAATGTTATGTGTTGGTATCTAATTAATGTTATGTGTTGGTATCTAATTAATGTTATGTGTTGGTATCCGATAGATGTTATGTGTTGGTATCTGACAGATGTTATATGTTGGTATCTAATTAATGTTATGTGTTGGTATCTAATTAATGTTATGTGTTGGTATCTAATTTAAAGTTATGTTTGGTATCTAATTAATGTTTTTGTGTTGGTATCTAATTAATGTTTGTGTTGGTATCTAATTTAGTTATGTGTTGGATCTAATTAATGTTATGTGTTGGTATCTAAATTTAATGTTTTGGTGTTGGTATCTAATTAATGTTATGTGTTGGTATCTAATTAATGTTATGTGTTGGTATCTAATTAATGTTATGTGTTGGTATCTAATTAATGTTATGTGTTGGTATCCGATAGATGTTATGTGTTGGTATCTGACAGATGTTATATGTTGGTATCTAATTAATGTTATGTGTTGGTATCTAATTAATGTTATGTGTTTTGGGATCTAATTAAGTTATGTGTTGGTATCTAATTAATGTTATGTGTTGGTATCTAATTAATGTTATGTGTTGGTATCTAATTAATGTTATGTGTTGGTATCTAATTAATGTTATGTGTTGGTATCTAATTAAGTTATGTGTTGGTAAACTAATTAATGTTATGTGTTGGTATCTAATTAATGTTATGTGTTGGTATCTAATTAATGTTATGTGTTGGTATCTAATTAATGTTATGTGTTGGTATCTAATTAATGTTATGTGTTACATTACTAAAGGATTTCCAAAAATATACACAAGCAGATCCTCTCCCACTGTTGAATTTACACCCTCTATTTTTTTTTTTTTTTAGAAATAAAATTTGGGTTTGACTTTGAATATACATATTTAATATCTTTATGATTATTTCTCTACGTTGAAACAACATGGAAGCATCTCGGAGTCCCTCTCAAATGTTCACGCAGTTATCAGGTAATAAGAAAAATGTGTTTCAGAAATACCTTTTGTGGTGGGTGGCAAGGTGGTGGTGGTGGTGGTGGTGGTAGTGGTGGTGGGTGGTGCTGTTGGGGGAATTTCGGTGTTGTTCTTGATCTCTTTGACGGTGACCTCCAGGGTTGTCAGTCTCCCACTCAGGTCGGCAGCTACGCCATCAAGCTTGCCTGCCAGGTCGTTCAGGTTTGTGTTACCATTTTCTATCAACTGCTGTAGGTCGTGTATTATACTGGTCAAGTTTCCAGCGGTGAGAATGTGATGGTTTCCCCATTCCGTGAAAGCATCCCTTTGAGCTGTAGACACACCTTCGATGCTCTCTTTGTTCAACGTTACCTTGTTCAAAACTTCGTTCAATATCTCCTTGTTTTCAGCCGTCGACGATTTGCAGCAGTCGGTCAGCAGCTCCTTGACCTCGGTAAGGCGGGTATCCAGCTCATGCGTACTGTTCGAGAGGTGAGATTGCGTAGCTAGAGACGACAAGCTGCTTTTAACGTCTGATGTTGTCGTGGAGATGAGAGTGGAGAGTTTACCCTTCAACTCCACTAAGTCACTGTGAGTCCCCAGAGTCGAAATTGTTTGCTGCAGCTGAGAAATTCTGTCGTTGAGTGGTGATATCTTGTTATCCAGTGAGTTTAAGACTTCACTAGATAAAATATTGATCCTAGTGTCTATATCTTGTACAGCTCTCGTCGTTATCGTCGATAATTTGTTTATAAACTCATCAATTAGTAGGGCCATCTTGATGTCAAAATCACTGGAAACAGTATTTTGCGACGTGTATTGTTCAGGTTGTGGGGTGCAGGACTCTTCCACCTTCTGCTGCAGAGTTTGAAAGCGCTCGTTAAAGAAATTTTTCTGCTGATCCAGAAACAGCTCTAGGTCTTCGAAGGCCAATTGGGTGTTAGGTTGCTCGTCACGTGCTGTACCTCGCCCCAACACTAGCACCAGCGCCAGCACAGTCACCCACATGATTTAGTGAAGAACTGCTTCTTGATTGGACGAAGTTGGAATGTTATATTAGTTTGATTTTTTTTGAGCGACGCGTGAGTGTCAATTCGGTTAACTGGGCTACACGTAGTGTCAAGGGAAGCTAATGTTCTCTTCGTTAAGTAGATGAGGCGTGGATGTGAACCGTAGAGCGTATAACTAATGTCCTCCTGACACGGCTTGTTCCCTCACACTAATGTGGGCTTCCTCAATCCTCCCTCAGCTCCTGACTCTACCCTCCCAGCCTCAACACTGTCACCTCAGACTCTTTCATCCCTCTCCCGACTATACGCAATATTTGCATTTAAGGCCAGATTAACATTCCGCTAAGAAGGCTGAGTATTTATGTGTGTAAGACATAAAATAGAAGATCTTATACTTGCTCAGTGATATACTTCTCAAAGCTGCCTTAGAATGCACTCGCTGGCAACGTTATCCATGAATGCTTGACTCTCCTCGGAAAAATTTTCCGGGAATAGTGGAGGGGAGGGAGAGAGGGTGGGGAAGGAGAGGGAGAAAGGGTGGGGAAGGAGAGAAAGAAAAGGTGGGGAAGGAGAGGGAGAAAAGATGGCAAATGAGAGGGAGAAAAGGTGATGGAGAGATTGTCCCTGGGAGAGAGGTGACGTGGGGGCTGATGACGAGAAAGAACATGGGACAAGAGAGAGAGAATACTCTTTTAATTTCGTAATTGACGGTTAATTATAGGGAAATAGCGATGAACGCATGTTAACATTTATTTCCCAACCAAACCTAACCTAGACTAACTAACTTAACCTAACCTAACCTAGACTAACTAACTTAACCTAACCTAACCTAGAACAATAATAATATTAAATTACTGAACGTTTATTCAGGTATAAATGTAAACAAGTTAATTAGTGAAAAAATTGGTTGCCCTAATTAGAGGAAAAGTAGAGTTAGGAAAAATTAGATTAGGTTAGGTTAAGTTAGGATAGATTAGGTTAGCATACGATAGAGAATATCAGAAGGGGAAAGTGGAGGAGGGAAAGGGCTAGCAGAAGGGGAGGAAGGGGAAAAGGAGGGGAGGGGGACTAGCAGAAGGAGAGGAAGGGGTCAAAAGTGGAGGAGTGGGACTAGCAGAAGGGGAGGAAGGGGGTCAAAGGAGGGGGAGGGGGACTAGCATAAGGGGAGGAAGGGGGTCAGAGGAAGGGGGTGGGACTAGTAGAAGGGAAGGAAGGAGTCAAATGAGGGGAGTCATACTGAAAAATGCTAATCCCAATTCTCTACCAAGACTGAATTCATTCTTCATCGCGTCAACTGCCACCAAACATTGTTTGATACTTTCAAGGGAACTCTGGAAAAATTAGTATAGTTCTGAAAGCCGCTCCTTAACACGTATGTAGTATAACCGCTTAGATAACAGACAAGTCGGTCTCAGACACGCCTCTTATTAAGGTCATAAATATTGTGGTAGTCATATCCTTGAGGTCAATTTACACTCTCCTCATACAGTAATAAAAAAATGTTAAAATAATACATCTTATTTCCTGAGTGTTCCAAGGAACTGTTGTTGTTGTGGTAGTGGTTGTTGTTGTGGTTGTTGCTGATGCTCTTGCTGATGTTGTTGTTGTCTGTTGTTGTGGTTATGTTGTTTATTGCTATTGTGGTTGTATAGTTTGTTGCAGTTGGGGTTGTGTTGTTGTTATTATAGTTGTTTATTATTGTTACAGTTGTGTTGTTTGTTATTGTGGTTGTTATCTGTTGTTGTTGTGTTAATTGTGTGCTTAGGATCCTAATGGAAATAAGTCACTCTGTCTGACTTTTTTGGGTTATCTTAGGTTCTCTACACATATGCTGCTATGTATGATAATTCTATGTAGCTGTACTTGTGTATACCTGAATAAACTTACTTACTTACTTACTTAGTGTTATGGCATAGGAATTTGATGGTTGATGCAAAACAACCACGGATGGGGGAGGGGTTGAAAATCTTCTATCTGGTTCTTTGTGAGTTGTCCACTCTGGCAGTCACACAGATAACCCAGTCCACTCTGGCAGTCACACAGATAACCCAGTCCACTCTGGCAGTCACACAGATAACCCAGTCCACTCTGGCAGTCACACAGATAACCCAGTACTCACACAGATAACCCAGTCTACTCTGGCAGTCACACAGATAACCCAGTACTCACACAGATAACCCAGTCTGCTCTGGCAGTCACACAGATAACCCAGTCCACTCTGGCAGTCACACAGATAACCCAGTCTGCTCTGGCAGTCACACAGATAACTCAGTACTCACACAGATAACCCAGTACACTCTGGCAGTCACACAGATAACCCAGTCCACTCTGGCAGTCACACAGATAACTCAGTACTCACACAGATAACCCAGTACACTCTGGCAGTCACACAGATAACCCAGTCCACTCTGGCAGTCACACAGATAACCCAGTCCACTCTGGCAGTCACACAGATAACCCAGTCCACTCTGGCAGTCACACAGATAACCCAGTCCACTCTGGCAGTCACACAGATAACCCAGTCCACTCTGGCAGTCACACAGATAACCCAGTCCACTCTGGCAGTCACACAGATAACCCAGTCCACTCTGGCAGTCACACAGATAACCCAGTCCACTCTGGCAGTCACACAGATAACCCAGTCCACTCTGGCAGTCACACAGATAACCCAGTCCACTCTGGCAGTCACACAGATAACCCAGTCCACTCTGGCAGTCACACAGATAACCCAGTCCACTCTGGCAGTCACACAGATAACCCAGTCCACTCTGGCAGTCACACAGATAACCCAGTGACTCTTAGGGAGCACTTCCTTGTGAGAATTAATCTAACTTGCAGGAAACTCTTATCTGCATGCACCATCTGGAACAGACTTACTTGATTGTGGAGTCTATGCTAACTAGAAATTTCTTAATTCTACCCAAGCAATCTAGACTTCTAGGACCTCTCATATCAAGATGCTGTATGCCCAAAAGGACTGATTCCTGCAATTAGGTGTTATTAACAACTCCTACAACTTAGACGATATGTAATCATTGGAAGTTTCCCTAACTAACATATGTAAAGAGCTACTGGCTTTTGGTCTATATTCGAGGGACAATTTCTCAAAAATTTTAGCTGTTAATCACCTGGTTGTTGGGCATGTACCTGCTTCTTAACCATAATTTAGTTATTCCTGCGTTTCTTCCCAGTAGTTTAGTGGCCATATAACGCTAGACAAAAGCCAGTGTGGAAAATCTTTGAATTTTCCGCAACCATAATGCTAAATGCATTATGGTTGTGGAAAATTCAATGTAATTCAATGAAATGCATTGTTGTTGGTTAAAATTAATTTGGGAATTAAAAAGGAAACCAGCAAAGTAGCGTCTGGTGGGGGAGGGACGCCATATTGGAATTGGAGAAACAAGACAACGTTGAAATTTGAGGAAATTCTTCAGAGGCTCTGGAGGCTAAATGGGGTTTAAATCTCCCAAATAGGAGTAAGAAGAATCGGAGTTATAGTCTTGCGGAATGTGCGAAACCAGTGACTTGGCAGGACTTGGAAATTAGATAGTAAAAGGGGATTATAAGGAACCATCAACACCCACAGCTAAGTATACTGCACTTTATATGTCGAACTTCTGGCCAGTTAGGCTCCTCATATCTAACATTATACAATCCACATAATTTTAATGTAAATATTATTAACCAGAATTACTGGTTGTGTTTATTAAATTTAAAGTTAATATTTATAGGTCCAGAGTAACTTGTGGGAATGTAACAGGACAGTGAGTGTCGAAGGGAGACATTCTCCTGGTGACCTGGGATGTCTCAAAATATTCCTACATGCCTCAGAGTTGTAACACTTGGTAAGAAATAGTTATTTTTCTTGCCTTCATTAAATTACTGGTATGAATATAATGAGGTTCATGCAGGTAATTTAATCTCCACAACCAGTAATGATTATCACAAACGGGTCTGGTGCAGAGACTTATATCCACGGTTCATTGGGAAGGCCTCTGATGAAAGTTGTTGGCGGCCAGAAAACTATTTTGTAAACCGCGTGGGACTGAGCCTAATAGCTCCTATCTAGGGAGTTGTTGATGCTATGATGTTTGGTGTCAGAAGTTCGTGCTAACATCTGCTAGCCTAGATCTCGACTTACTTGTGAGCTACTAGGTACCATAATTCTACTTAGTCTCTTTACTTAATACAACCTTATGGAAAATTTTATAGGGGTTACCTGTATGTACCTCAATATTACATGCATACAAGTAATCTCAGTGGGAGACAACAACCATATTGTTTACCGTAGTCACCCCTTGTAGACATGTGAGAAAACTTAGCCACCCCTGGTCATTGCAGGTGGCTCCTTCGACCTCACAATCTTACCCATATCTATCCGAAACCAGTATGAATTGGATAGCACCCACAAGTACGGCGCTACTAATTAATTGTGGACTGTATAGATTATATTGGTTTGACTGAATGAAAGGGGAAAGTAGGTTACACACATATATCCATCAAGGAAAAAACACTTGTATATAATACCACCACTTACCAGATATTCTCTGGTGGTCACTTGATGTAGCTGGATCACCCACAACCTATTCAGTTACAACATACCTAACTGGCCAGTATCAGTTTGTTATAACTAGAAGGGTTACTTAACTGTGGGTGATTGATGCTCCTTATTCCCTCCATTCACCATCTCATTTCGATGTCCTGTTACACCGATACAGTTCTTATTTCAGCAGGACGGGGTATCCGTTGGTTTATCCCAGTTTAGAAATCGTGACTCCATAAACTCCACTATCCTCGGGACAGGAAACCACGAGGTTAACAGATGCTCACTCTGAGAACGGCAACTCATTTCACTTCACACATTCTCTTAACTTAGTGTTATTATCACTGATTACTTCATAGCCCACCATATGGTTTAATGTCTCATAATTATTATGCACATTGGAGGCCACTCTATTAAGATCTGAGACCGATGAGTGATGATTAAATCACGGGTATTTTCCCCTGGACACACTCCATGGCATCGCGCCAATCACCACCGGTCCTACCATTATTCACTAATTTTAACACTTTATTACGGTGGTCCCGTAAATCACGTTCCCTCATTCTTCACCAGGAACAGTTACGACACTTCTTATTATGAAGTGAGGCCTATATTAATCCTTAGGCCGTCGTGAACACCAGTTTCCTGGTCCCATGCTTTCCCAGCCTCTTAACTCCATTCAAAACACTCCCGCTCCCTGATGCCCCATCTCGACCTCCCCCCTACCCAT